GCGGTTCGCATGCGAATTAATTACATACCGTGCAATTAATACATCGCGACATTGATAGCGCTGACAAATATTTGCGCACGTGTATGTATCGTATGAGAATCGCGGCGCTTTTTCCGGAAATAATGCGCTCGCTTTTCTCGCACGATAAAACGATTCGATCGGGCGCAATTGTTCAATTGATAAATTAAATTATTCTCATTTTACAATTTTGTAACAACGTTATTTTTTTTCTCCCTCCGCACTTGCGTGATCCGTTCTGTTTCGCAGAACGGACGGGCGTGTGTAAAAAAAAAGAAAAAAAAATACCGATCAATCGTCAATAATACACCGGGCGTTCTAATCACGAAGAATCTGCACGAGGGGAGCATATTATACCCGCTCGTAAGTTTATATTTGCCCAAAAGGTCACGGATTTCTCATCGATTAACGATTAAACGATGATTAGTTGAACAGTTGACATTTTTCGCGGACACGCGGAAAAGGTAAACCTCGAGAGCTAACAAATTTGTAGTGTTCGATTCTCTCGCGATAAAATTAATATCTCAAACACAATAATTCAAATAAGTTGTCAATTAGCATGTTAAATAATAAATTGTTGTTTTGCCTATAGCTTGAGACAAAAGTAATCTAGCGAAATAATATTTAACGACTGTGTTGAGACTAATAAATTTCGATTCCTCTCACAATATTTTGACAATAAAAACTACTTGCTCCGATAAATGCGTCGCGTTGAAAATTTTCTTCAGAAGAAGATCGGAGTCTTCTTTCGACATTCCTTTTATCATACCGATGCGTTGGTTTTTGTTTTTTAAGAACCTTTATTGTGAGTAAGGTTAAATGATGATCTTTTGCCTTGGACCTCGGCCGTCTGGAATGAAAGAAAGCGCATAAGCATCTTTCACGCAAAAAAGTGAAAGGTCATCGCTGACAATGAACATCTTCAGAGATCCGTGTATAATATACTGAAAAAAGTGTTGTCAAAAGAGTTTATAATGAGAATAGAAATAAAACTGGCGGGAGTCTAATGCACCTTGACTGATTTTATATCAAGGAAAGATCGAAACACATTTGTAAAAACTTTTTCTAAATAAACCGCGCAAGTTTCACACATTCTCCTCGTTGCTTTTTATACTTCCATCAGTTTTTCCATCGTTGTGTCCGAAACGTTGTTGCGCAATGTGTGTTTGCGCGCGCCATTAAGTAATTTAAAATTCAAATTGATTACATATTATATTGTGTCGGCTTGCAAGCATACATTGTGCGAATTTAAATATCAATTGACTCAAAAAAAAAAAAAAAAAAAAAAACGCGGTTACGTCGATGTAATCGACGAGATGGTCGGCGGCATCAAGCGTCATTAATATCTAAATGAAGGAACAAAAAAGTAGAAGAAATTGGGAATAAATTATGCGACTCGCGCGCGTAATCGCTCTCGCAAGCGTTTGTTTTTGCATAAACAAGGAGGAAGACGAAGAAACACAGAGAGGAGGAAGTGACACACACACACACACATACGACGAAAAGGTAAAGGCGCTGTCGGATTCAGCCGACATCAGCTGTTTCACGACCTCCTTTCCTCGTGGCCCTCAACCGAGATTTGTCTACCGCGCTAAGTATAGCGGACGTTGCTGCAATCTCACGGACGTGAGCGCACACACTTCTCATCACACACGGGGACCGGATCGCGTCGATCCAGATCAACGATCTACCCTCTCCATTGCGAAGAAGACAATCGATACGGGAACGAAAAATCAAGCGGCCCATTAGGGCGGATTATAAATACTGAAAATCGGTAGCATGCAAATATCGCGCGCGCGACGTATACAACAAATTGTATACATTTATCTGAAGAAGTCCGGAGACCTCACAAGAAGATGTCAATGCAATAAGTGTTAAAATATTCATTCAACGTGTACACGTGCAATTATAAACCAGTAGCGGTATATTTTGTTAAATTTATTTTTCCCGATGCATATAAAGAAATCGTATTTACATTTTCGCAACGCAGTATATCTTTCGAGTTCGAATACAGAGTGAGGTTTTTTATTTTCAACAACGCTTGTTCCCCGAGCAACGCATTTGTTGCGATCGAACGAAATTCCGTGGTCCAGTCTGGAACGAACTGGCGGGACAGCAATCCAACGATGTTTATCGTGGAATCGTTCGAGCATTTCGCGATCGATTGCTCGTAAAACGACCGAGCCACCGCCGCCGCCGCCGCCGTCGCCGCAACGAGCGACCAACACGCCGATATAATTCCACCTGATGAGAAAGAGACCTTTACACGCCGCCTCCGTGATTTTCGAAAGAGAGTGCGCGAGCAGAGGCGAGAGAGCGAAAGGAAGAATGGACGGAAGAGTTACGCAGTATTATGGGAGAAAGGCCCGAGAGAAAGAGAAAGGAAAACCTAGAAGTAATAAACGGCCTGTTGTTTTGCAAGCGCTTAAAAGATAACGTGCAGATTATTCTGTGTGATGCCGCCTGAAAGAGATAAAACAAATTTTGCACAAGATTGCGAGACGGAAAATATTTAAACACGAGGTTATTTATAGAAATTTTTTTATTATTTGTTATATTTCAATGCCAATAATTTTGTATTTTGTTTATCGTAGCCGCACGCGCGCACATATTACACACAAATTGTCAAACAATATTAAATCTAACAATTATATTTTTTTTTTGCAATTTAACAATTTGATGCGTTTTCTCTGAAAATTACACTCGCGAGAACAGCGATATAATAGATGTAATATGCTACAGTCGATATGAGAACAGTGTGAAAATATAAGAAAAACATGTAATAACTTCTATTGTATAAAAGAAGCACGGAGATCGATGAGAAGGGATTGAAAACAGATCCAAAAAAGGGGATTAAAAAGAGATGCGGCATCTAAGAACCGGTACACGGGCGTCTACCGAAATAGTGGAGAGAGACGTAAAAAAGAAAAACCCGACGCAGAAAAGGAAATGCGAACTATGGCGTGGGAGGGGCGACACTATGCCAATGATGGAGGAAAAAAACTATAAAAAAAGAAAAAATGGAAGACGTGAGAAGGCGGGAGTAGGATTTACGGGGTTACGGCATGGACAAGCTCGCCAATGATGGACTGGCAGAAAAAATGTGGAGAAACAGAGAAAGATGGAAGGACCGGAGAGGGCGGAGTAGAAATTGTGCAGCCCGCGCAAAAGGAGGGGAAGAGAAAGAGAGACGTGTGAAAGAAAATGCGCGCGTGTGTGTTGCCGCGTACGTGTGGGGATGGATGCAGTCGAAGAAAAGAGAGATTTGTCAAGAGGTTGCGAAGGCGCACCAGAAGAAAGGCTAGAGGAACTTGAGGAAGACGGTGATAGCAGATTGCGCGGTAATCTCCGCTTCATTCTTACGCATGAGCGATCTCTCGTATTACTCCACCGCGGTGACAAGGAGCGCCTCTATTCCGGCGCTGTTTAAATGACGAGGACGGGAAGAGGAGAGGAGAGGAGAGGAGAGGAGAGGAGAGAGGCCAGTGCAATAGAGGGCAGACTGGTGTGCGTCTAGAGCAGCGTTAAGAGAAAGACGAAGAGAAAGAGAAAGAGAAAGAGAGAGAGAGAGAGAGAACGAGAAAAAAGTGAGAAAGCGAGGCCACGGGGGAAAAGACGAGGGCGAGGTATATCACGGAGGAAGGGAGTGAGCGAGAAAGAGAAAGAGACAGGAAGACGGCAAGGGAGCATCGTGCTCCAATAAAACGAACAGAGATCGGAGAGTGTTCTCTTATCGCGTCTGTGTATGCATGTGCACATCGTCGACACAAGTAAATCACCATACACACACGTCGAGAG